GCATATATGAACATACAAACACTTAAATAACACACTCAATACACTTGTGTACCTTCGAAAACTTCGTGATCACAATTTCGACTTGAAAAACATTTTAATAAAATTTGAATATAATTTTCTCAAACGAAAATACATGGAAGATAATGTTATTTATGACTTTCCTACGATTTAGATTGATTCTCCAAGCGTAGGGGGCACCCAGTGAGGATCGAACCCTAACCATTGCATCGCCTCGTGGGGCTACTCTACTATCAATTTATACAACTGAGCTATTTTAATTTATACACTTTTAAATTATAAATAATAAAATAAGTTGGAATGTATTGTAGTCTAGGGACATGTAGATATTTCTTGTGAAATCAAATTATATTTCTGAAGACGCTGGATCGTCGACAAAACATGTAAAAGCAGACGTTACCCAAATTGCATATATATATATATATATATATATATATATATATATATATATATATATGTGTGTGTGTGTGTGTGTGTGTGTGTGTGTATGGGTGTGTGTGTATATATATATATGTGTATATATATGTGTGCGTGTATTATGGCTCTACTTTTGTATTGAGTTCTCTTTTAAATTTATGTTATGAACATTTAAATTTATATTCGTTTCGTTCTCTTTATATATATATATATATATATATATATATATATATATATATATATATATATATATATAAAGACATTTTTAGGTTTATACATTCTTTTTATAGACACAAATAGTAAATGCTCTGTTTTATAATAAACTATTAAACAACATTTACCGGCCTGAATATCCGAGAAATTTTCATAGAAAATATTAGTTCTACTGTCGGGGTTAACTCCTCCTCCAGTTCGTTAACCCTTTCACCAGGGGTCTCTCTTCCCTGGCTATAAATAGCCGCTGACCCTTCGCATCTATCTCTCTTTTTCCCTCAGTCCTGTGCGCCGACACCTTGAGGTAAATCTCTCCTTTTCCCCAGGATTTCAGCTATCAACCTCGAAATGTAGGCGCTAAGAAGGGATAGCGTGGAAACATGCTAAGCACAATACACACACACGCACATACAGAATATTCACACACACACGTACGCACATACAGAATATTCCCATACACTTCGTCCTTTGTACTGTTTCCATGTATTGTAACTTGTTATTAATATATATATTTGTATATACATATATTATCGGTCTTGTGTTTTGTTTGCTTTCTTTGCCTTCTTCTTTGGACTTAATCAAAGTCCAACCTTTTTATGTAGTTGGGCCCGGCGAGCAGGAGTATCTGAACCTTACATGCGTTTCTTCTACGTCTGACTTCACAACATCACAGCCACGGCCCTCTACACTACGACAAGAATCGAACCTGTATCCTATACGGAACCGTCATATAGCCTGACGTGCCTTAAACGATTCGCAAGGTCGATTTTACTGTTAATAAACTACAATCTTCCATGATTCTCTCACGTACATTCATATCTCCTCAATACGTATCCAAATGTAAACAAATGACGTCACACATTATGAAAGTCCGACAATTATTTTAAGATATTTCTATGTTTTATTTTATATTATGCAATTAGACTCTCGCAGTATCATTTGCACGGTGATAATGCAACAGTCTAATTCTATTGCTTTATTTTATAATAGTAAACAATAAAAAGTCATTATATATATATATATATATATATATATATATATATATATATATATATATATATAATTTTATTTAAAATATGATTCCAAATCGCTACATAAGAGGTCTCATGTTTCAAAACAAGAGCCGAAAACTTCAATATAATCCTTTAAATTAAATTAAGTTGAAAGTAAAATGGGCTCCGTTCCATCTTCAAGCGAAATTTTTGTTGGAATAACGTATATCTGAAATTTACTTGTTTTAAAATTGAAATCAAAATCCCCATGGTAACAGCTAGGGTGAATTGTCTAAATTGGGTAGGCGAGTGTAGGGTGTTTATAATAAGTAGCGGTATAGAGATACTTTCAAGGTGTCAAGTCGGGGGAAAGGTGGGGGTGTCAAAATGAAACGGAAGATGTATTGGCCATCGTCTAGTTTGCTTTGTCTATGGAGATTTATTTATTTTATTTTATTTTATTTTATTATGAAAGGAATTGTGCATATAAAAAAAAAAAAAACTTTCGTAACGTTTGTTTTTTGACGACTTCATAAAGGGTTATCTTATATGTAAGTATTTAAACTACTAATTTAGGCTATGGATTATGAAGTGTGTTATGTTGTATGCATGTTTGTAGTTAATTATTCCTACTATGAATCTGATGATTGGGCTATTTGTTAAACAAGTTATATAAAAATTTTTATCTAATAATTCAAACCAAAAATCTGATGATGCCTACAAAAACCGTTAACTCGTGTCTATTATTTAATAGATTATTATTATTTAGAAGTTTAATAATGTGCAATTTTTCATGGAGGCACAAAGGGCATGGGTCATCCCAAGCTTTACATATTCTAGCCTTGTCAATAATTTTCCATTTAACTTTTGGTGTCTTATTTGTTTCCTTCAGGTGCCAAAAATATTTTGATAGTGAAGTCTGATTTCGTTTGTTTATATTATTAAAGGAGCACTTATGCTGCCTCCATCTATCTTTAAAATTATTCTTCGTGGACCCAATGTATATCATATTAGTGCTAGGGCTCTCTGTGGATGAAATAGTACATTGGTATACCACAGAATTAATACAACATTTATTTTCTAATGGGCAGTCTTCTGGGTTTCTACAGTTACATAATTTTTCCCTTTATCGTCTGATTTAAGTGCAGAGTTTTTATTAATACTGTTTTGGCATGGGGGTTTTGTTCAAGATCTTATTATTGTGTTTTTTTTATTATGCGTTCAAGATTATCAGAGCAGGTATAGCTCAATTTTAGGTGTTCTTATTGAATATATTACTAAGCTTACTATTGGTGGGGAAGTGTTTATTAATTAGAGCTAAAATTTCTGTCCTAGTTTAATACTAACCCTTTGGTTGAACGGAGGGGTGTACCAAATGATATTTCTTTTCCTGTTTTTTTCCTATGTCCAGTGTAATTTTCTCTGTAGTTAATGTTAGCATTTTATAACCATTATTTTTTAGGGCAGTGTTATAGAAGCTATTGTGTTGTTGGAATATTTCCCTGTTTGCGGAGTTAATGCTAATTCTATTTTCTATTGATGAGGGTATATGTTTAATTATTGATGGAGGATGGTTTGACTTCGTCCTGTATGTATAAAGGGTTAGCATTTGGTTTTCTATAAGGTTGGTATGTGTTGCCTGGTAAGTCTAGAGTTACGTCGAGGAAGTTAACCCTTTTCAAATTAGAAGAGACAGTTATCTTTAAGTTTAGTTTCTTAAATTCACTAAATATAATTTTTCTGATTTTTTCAATCTTAAAACTAGTAGAACTCCTCACCACCATGAGCCCGTCATCTCTATACAGCCCGATGTTCTTAACATCAATTTCGCGGTGTGCCGTTAAATTGTACAGTATTAGGAGACCAACAAGGTCAGAAGACTCTGCAGAGTCTAACGATCCCATAGTGATGTCAAACAGGTCGTTATTGTTTTTTATCCATTGGTCCCCATTGTGAACGAGGACCGATTTCTTTTTGCAGTGAGGATTATATCCGTTTCATCCTTTGTTAGGTTAACCTAACAAAGGATGAAACGGATATATCATATATATTATATAATTATATTTATGCTCTACTTTTGTATCGAGCACTATTTTAAAAAAATAATAACTAAAATACTAAGAGACTTTGGATTATTTACCTAACCAGTTCCTTCCTATTTTCTATATATTTTCACACACACACACACACACACACACACACACACACACACACACATATATATATATATATATATATATATATATATATATATATATATATATATATAATATAACAAAAACAAAAGTCCGACAATTATTTTAAGACATTTTTATGTTTATACATTCTTTTTATATAGATACAAATATTTAAGTAAATTTTCTGTTTTATAGTAAACAGTATTAATAACATTTACCGGCCTGAATATCCGAGAAATTGTCATAGGAAATATTAGCAGGAAAATCGACCTTGCTTTCCCTGACGATCCCCTTAGGTGAAACCTTGGTAGGTTTGTCTGGCTCTCTAGGTTTGTCTATATATATATATATATATATATATATATATATATACTGAAAGGATAAAAAAGAGGATTAGCAAATCGAGAAAGAACGAAAGAAAAAGAAAGAAGGAAAAAGAAAGAAGGAAAAAGTAGACGTGATGAAAACGTGAAGAAGTGATTGCTGAACAAAGAGAATTAAATTAAATTGAAAAGATGCGCTAAAATGAATAAATAATATAAAAAAGAAAAACAATATCAAATAATCGTACTATAAAAAGAAAAAAAGCGATTCAAAAGAGAAAACAATTAAATAAAAACCAAATGTCAAGAAGACACGTACAAATAGTAAAGAAAAAAAAATGTCAGCGAACATGACAAAGATAAAAAAAAAAAAGAAAACTTGAAAAACGGAAACGAAGAATTGAAAATAAACTTTATTTGTTAAACACAATTTGAATATCACTTTTTCAAAATCTCCCAACAGGGAATATAAAAATCCGGGATACAAGTTGCGTTTTCTCAATGAGGAAAGCGAAATATAATTAGTAAACAAGCCAAAATGTTCTTCGAATGTCGACCATAACTGCGTCGGTGTAAGGTGGCAAGGTTGATTTAATAAAAAGGTGAAATTTGAAAGAAACGAAACGAAAGATAATGAGGCGAAGACATTGGGAAAAGAGCGGAATATTGAGAAAAAAATTGCGAATTATTACCGCATTTAACGCAGGATGGAGAAAAATAAGCTTTTGATTTTCAAAATCGAACCTGAAAACATCGTCGGATTGAATAAATTTTCAACCTGGTTTTTCATGCATGGAAGCTAATCGACGAAGTAAACACATTCACGGGTTAAGTGCTGAATCGAGAGACAAACAAACGAATCAAGTCTGAGAGGCTTTTAAGAGGAAAGACATAACTAATGCGAAATAAAAGAAAATGAAAGGCAAGAAGAAAATAATCAATAATATTGGAAGAAGGGAAAATATGAAGAAAAAGAAATATATGAAAAGAAAAAAAGGCATGAAGAAAAAAATACAGACAAACGAAAGAAAAGAAAGAATAAGTAAAATAAGAAAAAAAAGATATGAAGAAAGAAAAAAGCCAGTTTGACGAAAAGAGAAAGAGATGAAGATTTGATAAAAAAATAAGAAGAATGAAAAATAGAAGGTTTTGATGATGGCAAAAAAGACAGGAAGAAAGAAAAAAGAAAGAAAAAAGAAAGAAAAGTAAGAAGGAAAAAAGAAAGATATGACGTAGGAAAAAAGGAAGATGTGACGAAAGAAAGAAGAAAGATATGACGAAGGAAAAAGATATGATGAAAGAAAAAAAAGATATGATAAAGGGAAAAAGAAAGATATGGCGGAGGAAAAAAGAAAGATATGACGAAAGAAAAAAGAAAGATATGATGAAGGAAAAAAGAAAGATTCGACGAAGGAAAAAAAGAAAGATTTGTCGAAGGAAAAAAGTGTGACGACACCCCGTGCTGTCTGCCCCGTCGCCGTTCTACCCTGCGACGACCAATGTGACTTGGTATTGGTCGCGGCACCAAATGTGACGTTCTAACCTTTTGTTGATTCGGATGGGAATCTGGTTAGATTCGGTATCAGCTTTGTCGTTCCCAGCTCGCCTCCAACGTCTGGTTACCAAAGTAACTGCTTTGATTTCTAGTCTAACCTACCCATGTTGCGATTTGATCTTATGTAGACGAAATCAATCAGTCGCCGGGCCGTAATGCAAGTCGAGTCCGAACAAGGGTAATACTGCACAAGTATATGTAAAAGAAAATAAAGTAACAACTCGAAAAGTTCAAATGTGTTAAAAAAATGAATACCAATATTTTATATCTGCTTGCTGAATACAGGACTGCTTCTTTCTCCCAACCCGCTAATATGGATCTGTGACACTTTGTGTTTATTATGCGAGTCTTAACATCTTAAGTTGTTTTTTTAAGAAACTGGTTTTTGGTGTATCTTCAGGCGATATTCGTAAAACTTGTTTTGGTGGTGTGAGTCTAAGTCGTTCTTCAAAAATAAATTGTTCTTGGTTAGAAGTTGAGGTCGTGATTGCGTGGGATCTTTCAGTCAGCTCACAGCTCAATTCTGCGTCTCCCTCTCCAACTTCCAACTCCAACTCAACTGCTTGCCTGTCTGTGACTAACCCCCACCTCTCGTCCACTCGCTGCGACTCTGCTTATATGGACGCCGACCAAAACCGGGGTGGGCTTGTCGGGGTTTGAGGTTCCTTGATAATTCTAAATCCACAATAAGGATCTTCATTGTTTTCGGTCAGGAAAATTTATTATTTTCCATTTTCGGAAGTCCTTACTTTCTACTTTAAGGGAATCGTCCTCCTAAATTCTTCCTTTCTCATTTTGGTATCTCACACCAATCCCTTCGGAGGGCGTCAACAGGTTCCCCTCTCTCTCACAGTGGCATCTCACACCAATCCCTTCAGGGGGCGTCAACAGGCCTCCCCTCCTTCTTCATAGTTTACCTTCACTACCGCTCACGCCACCCTTCAGCCAATGAACGCTCAGCAGTCTGGGTGTTTGCAATTATCGCTCAAAGGAGAAAAAAATTTATCTTCTTTCCCTTTTTTTTTCTTTCTCTTCCACGAGTCGACCTCACACGACGCGTGGTGTGGTCCCTAATCTCTATATTAACCGAATGTCATCTGGACTTTATCAATCGAGATTTTCGCCAGCGTCAAGTGGGTGGTTTAACTGGACGTATTTGCATTCTGTCGCTAATTATCTCTTCCGATACAAACTTTTATCATGTCCAGGTTTGGACAATAAAACAGGTGTTTTTTTCAAACCAATGTTATCTCCGACGGATAGTTAATGGTTCATTCTTTTCCTGTTCTCTCTTGGTGGCCTCACAATTGGTTTTCTCGGTCAGCGCGTGACCTAATTATCATTATCTCCCAGCTTCTCTTTCGTAGGCCACTTGACCAATTTGAAATTTTCATTATTGCCATGGACAGATTGCTATCTTCCTTCACCGCGCCGTAACATAAATTAATTCGACAGATCCGGTATCTTACGAATCTCCCATCCTCTGCGTGAGAAAAAGGATACTTTTTCTTTTCGCAAATGAAAACAAAATCTTTACCACTTTTCTTTGTTAGAAAAAACAACATCGCTCAGTGTCTTTTCGTGATAGCTTCTTATTACCTAAATTAATTCTCGCCCTTTTTTTTCACGCAACCCTAAATAATGTCACAAAAGAAAGATATGATGAAGGAAAAAGTATGATTTGACGAAGGAAAAAAGATATGATGAAGCAAATAAAAAAGATATGATCAAGGAAAAAAGAAAGATATGACGAAGGAAAAAAGAAATATATGACGTAGGAAAAAAGAGAGATATGATGAAGGAAAAAAAGAAAGATATGATGAAGGAAAAAAGAAAGATATGACGAAAGAAAATAGAAAGATATGACTTAGGAAAAAAGAGAGATATGATGAAGGAAAAAAAGAAAGATATGACGAAGGAAAAAAGAAATATATGACGTAGGAAAAAAGAGAGATATGATGAAGGAAAAAAAGAAAGATATGATGAAGGAAAAAAGAAAGATATGACGAAAGAAAATAGAAAGATATGACTTAGGAAAAAAGAGAGATATGATGAAGGAAAAAAAGAAAGATATGACGAAGGAAAAAAGAAATATATGACGTAGGAAAAATGAGAGATATGATGAAGGAAAAAAGAAAGATATGATGAAGGAAAAAAAGAAAGATATGTAGAAGGAAAAAAAGAAAGATATGACGTAGGAAAAAAGAGAGATATGATGAAGGAAAAAAAGAAAGATACGATGAAGGAAAAAAAAGAAAGATATGACGAAAGAAAATAGAAAGATATGACTTAGTAAAAAAGATAGATATGACTTAGGAAAAAAAGAAAGATATGACGAAGGAAAAAAGAAAGATATGACGAAGGAAAAAAAGAAAGATATGACGTAGGAAAAAAGAGAGATATGATGAAGGAAAAAAAGAAAGATATGATGAATGAAAAAAAGAAAGATAAGACGAAGGAAAAAAAGAAAGATATGACGTAGGAAAAAAGAGAGATATGATGAAGGAAAAAAAGAAAGATATGATGAAGGAAAAAAAGAAAGATATGACGAAAGAAATTAGAAAGATATGACTTAGGAAAAAAGAGAGATATGATGAAGGAAAAAAAGAAAGATATGACGGAGGAAAAAAAGAAAGATGTGACGTTGGAAAAAAGAAAATTGTGATGAAGAAATAAGAAAGATATGATGGAGAAAACATAAAAAGAAAAAAGAAAAGGAATTAAAAGAAAGAATTAAGTAAGAACGGTAAGAAAAAAGAAAGAAATAACAAAGAAATATCGGATGAAAAAACATACAGAAAAAGAAAGAAAAATGAAGAAAATGAATGGAAAAAGAAAAAGGATAATGTGAAGAAGGGAAAAGAAAAGAAAAGGAACAAAAGAGGAATATAGAACGATATAAATAAAGAAAAAAGAAAGACAGGCAAAAAGAAAAAAAAGAGAAATGTCTGAAAGGAAAAAGAGAAATGAAGAAAGAAAAAGAAAGAAAAGATGGAAAAAGATGAATATAAAGAAGAAATAAAGTTATAAAGAAGAAAAAATATTAAGAAAGAAATACCATTTTAAAGAAATAAATTTATGCATAAAAAGAACGAAAAAAGAACGATATGAAGAAAGACGAAAATGATATGAGAAAAGAATGAGAAAACTTCGATGTGAATGGAATTTTTTTATATAAGAATTATAGATTATGAAAATATATACGATAAATAAAAGCTGACCCTAAACTAGAAGAGATTAAAATTCTAGTGGTCGGGTATATACTACCAATTACCAAATACTACAAAGTAGTTGCTCTTGGGAAGAAGCAGGTTCGAATGGAACTTCCTTCTTACAAATGGAATACAGAAAGAATCAGGATGGTATTTCTGGTAGAACTAAGCAATGAATCGGATGTGTGTAACAAACTTTACAAGATTTGGCGCTCAAAACCTTCCCTCCTTCTTAAAAGTTCAAACCTTTCGAACAGTGGTTGAACCTGTCCTTCTGTATGGATCAGAAACTTGGACATTATCTGCTCGTTTTGAAAGACGACAGGATGGAACATATACAGGTCTACTTAGAAAAATCCCGAACACCAGCCGAAGATCCCATGCAACGCTTAATACAATTTACGGAGAACTGAGATCAATCTCTCTTAAGCTAAAACAAAATCGATTACAGTTTACTAACTACTGCCACTGAGCAGACAAGGAAATCGTCTCATCTTTACTTCTATGGCATCCTTCTGGAAGTGTCTTTCCCAGACACCATATCTCGGGACTCAGAGTTGGACATTGGGGATCTGGGGACAGCAAGACAGGACCGAATAGTGGGGAAAGGGTTTGTCAATAGAGTTGAGACCAACTATAGGGAGGTCGAAGGAGGGTGATGACGATGAAGGAATTTATGGAAGTTTATGGAAATAACAATGGAGTAGCGATCGGCTTACGAAGTAGCATCTATGGAAAAGCGAATGAAATTGTGGAAAATATTCAATCACCCAAGTTGCAATAACAATTTGTTTTTAACTGACATTATTTACATTATTCGGAATGCTATCCTCATTTTCATCACCATATTTACAAGGTTTCGGCCGTTGTACGCTCCAGCCTTTACGTCTATGTCTCTCTATATATCTCTCTATATCTCTGAGATGAGGTATTATTATTAATTGCATTATTTACATTATTCGGACTGTTATTCTCATCTTCATTGTCATATTTATAAGGTTTCGGCCGTTGTACGCACCGGCCTTCTTTAGGTGACACAAGACCCAGTGGATAAAGACGTTGGTCAGATCCAGTGACTAGACCCAAAGAGTTGTGTGTTCAGTACCAAGCCACAGCTGAAGTGAACCAACAAAATCTTGGAGAAATAACTGAGACATCCGGAAGAGGCATGGTACATGGAACTAGAATAATCTACCTCTGTGGACGAAATAAAGGGGTCGGTTCGAAATTCCAATCACCTGAAGAAGGCCGGAGTGTACAACGGCCGAAACGTTATGAATATGGTAATGAAGACGTGGATAATAGTCCGAATAATGTAAATCATGCAAGTAATCATAATACCTCATTTCAGAGATATAGACAGATATTGAAGAAAAATTCTAATCATCTGAAGAAGGCCAGAGTGCACAACGGCCGAAACGTTGTGAATATGGCAATGAAGATGAGGATAACAGTTCGAATAATGTAAATAATGCAACTAATCATAATACCACATCTCAGAGATCCAATCACCTGAAGATGGCCGGAGCGTACAACGGCCGAAACGTTGTGAATATGGCAATAAATATGATGATAACAGTCCGAATAATTTAAATAGTGCAAGTTAAAAAGTCTATATAAAAGTCCAAATAAATGCAAAGATCTTTGGTTTCACTGATTGATTTTGAGACATAACAACTTTTGTTGAGTCAATTAATATCTAAATCTGTCGGGTTTTTAATTATTATATTAATATATAGTCTAAGAAGTTACTTGCTTTGGGGATAGGCAAATTTTGTTGGTTTATATTTGAGTCTGTAAGCAGTTTCTTGGTTAGGGGATAGGTAATTATTAGTAGCTGATCATTGAACATTTGAATATATAATAATCATGTTGCTAATGTTTTCAATTCCTCTAAATATTTATTGGTTGTTTAGATTTAAGTCGTAAGCAATTACTTTGTTCAGGGAGAGGTAAATTTTGATCGTTCATATTTGAGTTTGTAGGTTTCATAAAAATAGCATTGGATTTAACCAACTAGAAAATGTAGAAATAAAGATGAGGTCAAAAGTTCGAATAATGTAAAGTATCTGTGATGTAATCCATCCTGATCTGGCATCTCGGCTGCAGTCACTGACGTTACGTGACTTCCTTCTGTCTTTACTACGATTATTTTCATGGTAACTACACTGATGGGTTTTCCCCCTGGTGCCTGGACTATGTGAGTTCAAGCGTGCTACTAAATTGGCATATAGGTCCCACCCGTTTACTTTTGGAACAGTTAAATGCAACTGCTACTCTACTCCAACAGTTTCTTTTTCTGAACTTCCCACCATTTAATTGCTTCCCTGATAACTACAATCTTCAAAAAATTAAAATCGCCATTTTCTATCGCTTTGAACCCGTTTATACTTTGTCCTTTGCTCAATCCTCCCCATACTCAGCATTTTCTCTCCTTTTTATTTCCTGTAACCCCTTACGTACCAGTGGCATTTTCGCCTTGCTTGAGGTGAAATTAAAAAAAAAATGGCGCTACACAAACAAAATTTCCTTGTTTTTTTTCTAGATTTGTTCAAAATGTTTTAATCCCCAGCCGGAAAGAAGAACCATAGCTGAACATTTTTGTTGTGGCAACTCGCTATCACTTCTCATAAAACTAGAAAAACTAATTCAGATTTCTGTCTCAATTTATATGCAGGTGAGGCCCATACAAAACTGAGAGGTGTGGGATAAATCAAAAACTGGGCAAAACAGACGCCCGAGCAGTCATGAACTATCTGCAAAAGAAAGGTATGACCCCCAAGGAAATCGATGCAGACTTGGTACAGACATTTAATAAGGACTCCCCTTCCTATGGAACTGTGCAAAAATGGACTGCGGAATTCAAGCGAGGCAGGGACAGCAGAGAAGTTGACCCTCGGGGTCATGTTGTCAACCACTGATGAACAAGTTGATGCCATTCACCGTATAGTTTTTGATAAGAGACGTTTTACTGTCTAACAGATAGCTAAGTCCGTAGATAGTAGTTATGGTTTGGTCAATAATGTTTTAACTGAGATCTTTGGGATGAGCATGCTGTCTGTAAGATGGGTCCCAGGAATGCTGACACCAGAGCAGAAATGAAAAAGGGTTGATATTTCCAGTAAAAATTCTGATTCGCCTCCAGGTTGAACCTGAGAATTTCCACCGTAGATTAGTAATTCAAGCCCAAACCTGTTTTCACCACTTCAAACATGAATCAAAGATTCAAAACAATCTGGTTCTTCACCCCAAACAAGTTCAAGCAGGCAGCGTCTGTTGGTAAGGTGATCGCTTTTTTTTTATTTTTTTTATTTTGAAGAGATATAATCACAATAGACTATCTGAAAGGGGGACTTTTAATGGACATTACTATGCATCAGAAGTAAACTAAAGGAAGCAATCAAGTCAAAATGCAGATGGAAACTAAAGGCAGGTGTGCTCTGTTCACATTACTCAGGTTGATTTAGCTGAATCAGCCAATTGCGTCTTTGTATTGCTACCCCATTCCTCTTACTCACCAGGTCTAGCTCATCTGACGTCTTCCTGTATCCTAAACTCGAAGCCAGCCTACTTGGTTGCCATTTTAGAAACAATAGTGAGATCGTAAATGCTAGGGTAGAGTTTTTAGAGGAGCAGGATGTCACCTTCTTCCGTGATTAGGATTGTAATTTTTAAGCATCGTTGGATCAAGTGCATTGATGTCAAGGAAGACTATACTGAAAAAATAGTGAAAAACTCTCTTGATTCTCCATCTCCTTGTAGATGAGTCCCAGAACTTTTTGAACGACCTTTGTAGCTATGGATAGGCAAAAAGATGAAGTAGTAATAAAGCGGAGTGGCTGATAAACAGAAACAAAGAAATTCGTAGAGATTAAGGATGAACCGGAATTTACAATAACTCTGTCAAGATTTAAAGAATAATCCTACAGACAAATGTTCCGCGCATACTAGAGAGTAATACAATAGTAATGTAAATTCTTGAAGCAAGCAAAATCCCCTGAATGACCAGTGAAATAGCCATTTTGCCTCTCCACGAAGTACTTGAATCTTACTGACAAACTTTATCCTTACAAGAAAATCGGATCTAGGTAAATTGCTCGAAATCAATTGCTCAAAAAATAATTTCTCGAACTATCAATTGCCCGAAAGGCAGATTGCTCAAAGTAATTTCGCAGCTCGAAGCACCACGTAAACTGCGCCGTCTCACGATACGTCAACGAAGCTGGATATAAAAGGAGCCACAACACTCAACTTTAGCAGTCCTGATTTTTTTTTCTATATCTGTTTTCTATTTCAGTAATTTTGGAGATCTGGAACCCTAGTGATGGACAAAACCTTTGTTGAGATCGAAAAAGCAAAGAAGTTGTGTTTGGATGGATATCTATATATTAAGGACAAAACAGTGAACAATAAGATTTACTGTCATATGTGAAATGTGCCAAAAAAGGAAATGCTTAACACATGTTATCACTGTCAATGATAGTATCCAGAAAAGAAGCGGGAATCACAACCATCCAGGAAATGCCAGTGAAATTGATGCCGCTAAAGCCATGGAGAAAGTGAAAGAAAATTCAATAAATAGTCAAGAAATAAATGTACTCGTTCTTTGATTTTAAGTGTTCAGTTAACAACAATAAAGTTGTGTTATTTTAACTTATAGTAAATATTAGAAACAATGTAGTTTTATTTTTTAACAATAGGTTTCGAGCAATCTGCCTTTCGAGCAATTGATAATTCGAGAAATTATTTTTTGAGCAATTGATTTCGAGCAATTTACCGGATACCCAAGAATCAGATGAGACCAAAAGTAAAGTATTTCTAGGGTTCAAAATCGTATGATCTGTCTTGGAGTGGATGGTTTAATGTTTTAACTCTAAGTTCTCTTTACCCTAGAGGCGTAATGTGGCAAGTCTATTGCTGCTCTTTATTTCCACGATGAGCACCATTCTTGAGTTCCACTGGTTCAGACCTTTATATGCTAAGTCCACGGAGTCGAATCGCCAACATTTCCCCCGTACTCCAATATTAAGGAGGAAGTTTCACTCAAATAGACTTTTCCCCCAAACTGCAACCTTTATGAACAAATCCCCGAGTAGATGCTTTCCTGCACACGACAATCTTAACCTCGATAATGAAGTGTCAATTGCTACGTATCCTCAGCTTCATAATTTCCCTTCTTTTTATCTTCTCTTACATTCTTAACACATAACTCATTCATTAAACCCTTTGGGTGATGGTTTTGATTAACTTTCGTAACAAAAATGAAAGAAAACATAACTTATTTTCAATAAGTAAAAAAGAAACAATTCCAAGTAACAACAGACCAAGAACATGCCTACCTGTTAGATGAAAACAATAAGTGAACAAATTGCAGCAGAAGTATAAATTACTCAATAGAAAGCTAAAGAGAGCACAAGTCAAATTAAGGACTGACTAACTTCAAGGACCAAAGGTTGCATAAGAAATTAAAACAATCTCAGGATCTTCCTCAAGAACTACTGTGAAAGCGAAAGTAGATTTCATAAAAAAGTGTAGGTCTGAATTCGGTTCGAAAGATCTAAGCCAAGAGATTGGGAAAAAAAACGTGATTCGAGAAAAATAACTGAAACACGACATTTAAAACAACAGTTCAGGAGAAAAGAGCTTTTAGATAATCGATATTCGATTATCAGACGAATGTCTTGAGTGATTTTCGTGAAGCATGTGAATAAACAGCAGAATATGAAAAACATTACACTGACTCCTTGTTTGTTAAATGGATATTGATTACCTTGAAGTATGTTTTCCAGAATCTTACCCTGTAAAACACAAACTCTCTCTCTCTTTATCTGTCTGTCTGTCTGTCTGTCTGTCTGTCTCTCTCTCGCTCCCCTCTCTCTCTCTCTATATATATATATATATATATGTGGACAGAATTATTCACCCTCATCTTCCATAGTTACAAATAAAGCTGCAATATCTCAAATTTTAATGGAAATTACAAAAATGATGAAATAATAAATACGAAAGAATATGCAATGATGCCCACGACAATTGTTTTTTATTTTAATGTGAAACAATAACACAAAAACTCCTGATAAAACATTTTACATAGGACAAAATTATTGGTTCTCTTGTCTTAATCATATCTGTAACCTTTATTCTTGATTATTGTCTTTAATCATTTGTTGATAGTTCTTTAAAAGATCATTACACACACTGATAGGTATTTTGCTCCATTCTTCTTTGGCAATAGATTCTCGTTCCTAGAAATTCGAAGAACTAATTTCTGATGCTGTAATCGAATTTTTGTAATAAATATTTACCATCTCCTACTTCCATATTAGCCACTGGATCATATATGAAGCTCATCCTCCCTTTGGTTTGAATTCAGATGTTTTCCTTCTCCTGATTGCCAACTAAGGTTATAATGCCCAATCTGTCCTGCTATTTACCTATAGCTGGGATGGATTTATAACTTTCTCAGGAGTATATGCGCGTAAGGGAATGGAACGGAATCGACTTAAATTCGAAATCAGATCTACGATTTTTCTTCCCGTGCTGTTATTCATTAACCCACCTGCACATCTAATTGAAATCTTTTGAATGATTTTGCGTGTGTTTCTTTTTTTAAATATTTTGTCAGTGTTCCCGCCATTTTCTCTCAGCAGATTTACATCATGGCGGATTTTTTTCTGACTTATATTCGATAAAGCAAATTTTATCCTTGATTATTGCCTTTAATTCTTTTTGATAGTTCCTTACAAGATCATTACATACACTGATAGGCATTTTGTTCAAATTCTTACTTGGCAATAGCTTCTAGTTCCTCCAAATTCGAAGGCTTATTTCGCTTACTTTCTTCTTCAAATATGCTTATACATTTTTCAATGGGAACTTTGTTCGGGGTAGGCTAATATCTTTCTTTTCTGTCATCTAAGTATTTTGTAACAATTCGTGCCGTTTGTTTCAAGCCATTGTCATATTAGAACATCCAGTGATGTCCCAAAGACAGCCTTCATGCACGTTGTTTAATATTATTTTTAATAAATTAATAAATATTGCTCTTTATCCATATCTCACGAGTTCTCCTTGTCGAGATGCAGCAAAACATCCCCGGCGCAGTGTGCTCCCACCACGGTGCTTAATTGATGGGAGGGTATTTTTGGTTTTGTGAGCTTCATTCTTTTCCCTGTACATATAACGGGAGTTCATGGGACTAAATAATTCTAGTTTGGTTTCATCTGACCATAGAACAGATTTCAAATATTTATTTTCACGCTCTAGATGGCTCCAAGCATAAGTTAATCTTCATTTTAAGTGTTTAGCCTAAAGTAAGGTAGTTTTCCTTGGGCGACAAGCACGAAGTCCTGCTCAATAAAAGCATCTAGTGATACTGTTATGGTCTGGTTCCTTGTACCACGGTGATAGTCCAAGGTAGAACCAATAAAGAAGAACTCGAACACAGGTATGGAATAACACAGATATATTACAAACAGGAATATATACAGAGAAGTAGAAAGTGTTAGTACGAACAATCAGGTTTAGTAGGGAGAACAATGTAGTCTCGACCAGTATCACTATTCCAATGTCTTGTAGTAATTGTCTGAACGCGACTCTGTTTCGGACTGCCTCTGACTCGACTCTTGACTTGACTTGAACTACTGACGATATTCAGTCAACGCCCCCCCCCACTGGGGCATCATGTGTCACAAGGCCGGCTATTCAATGTGGGATCTCCGAGCCCGTGGGCTCGGCCCAAAAATATACCCATTGAACCCGTATAAACGGGTTCAGGGTCGGTTTACCTCTCCGAAATAGACTCCTCCCTTCGGCGTAGCCTCCTTTGGGTTCCTCCCCGCCCAAAGGCAGAGAGTTCAACCGAACAGCCGGTTAGGAGGTAAACGACTGACGATATTCAGTCACCCCGCCCACTGGGGGAGTATGTGACACAATGTCGGTTATTTATTGTGGGTTCTCCGAGCCCGTGGTCTCGGCCCAAAAATATGCCCCTGAACCTGTATAAACGGGCTTAGAGCCGGTTTACCTCCCCGAACGAGTCTCCGCCCTCGGCGTAGCCTCGTTCAGGTTCCTCCCCGCCCGAAGGAAGAGAGTTCAACCGATCTGTCGTTCAAGAGTTGAGCGTCTGACGATATTCAGTCACCCCCCCACGAGGGTGTCATGTGGCACAAGGCCTTTTTAATGTGGGCATTCCCGAGCCATTAGGCTCGGCCAAAAAAAAAAAATAGCCCATTTGAACCCGTATAAACGGGTTCTGGGCCAGTTTATTTCCCCGAAGGAGACTCCGCCCTTCGGCGTAGCCTCCTTCGGGTTCCTTCCGCCCGTAGGAAGAGAGTTAACCGCACAGTCGCTCAAGAGTTGAGCGTCTGACATTATTCAGTCACCCCCCCACGAGGGTGTCATGTGGCACAAGGCCTTTTAACGTGGGCATTCCCAGCCATTAGGCTCAAAAAATAGCCCATTTGAACCCGTATAAACGGGTTCTGGGCCGGTTTTACTCTCCGAAATAGACTCCGCCCTTCGGCGTAGCCTCCTTCGGGTTCCTCTCGCCCGTAGGAAGAGAGTTGAACCGAACAGTCAGTTCAGAGGTGAACGACTGACAATATTCAGTCACCCCCCCACGAGGGTGTCATGTGGCACAAGGCCTTTTTAACGTGGGCATTCCCGAGCCATTAGGCTCGGCCAAAAAATAGCCCGTTTGAACCCGTATAAACAGGTTCAGGGCCGGTTTAACCTCCCCGAAGGAGACTCCGCCCTTCGGCGTAGCCTCCTTCGGGTTCCTCTCGCCCGTAGGAAGAGAGTTGAACCGTGCAGTCAGTTCAGAGGTGAACGACTGACAATATTCAGTCACCCCCCACGAGGGTGTCATGTGGCACAAGGCCTTTTAACGTGGGCATTTCCGAGCCATTAGGCCCGGCAAAAAATAGCCCATTTGAACCCGTATAAACGGGTTCAGGGCCGAGTTACCTCCCGAAGGAGACTCCGCCCTTCGGCGTAGCCTCCTTCGGGTTCCTCCTCCCGTAGGAAGAGAGTTGAACCGAAGAATCGCTCAGGAGGTGAACGACTGACTATATTCAGTCACCCCCCACGAGGGTGTCATGTGGCACAAGGCCTTTTTAACGTGGGCATTCCCTAGGAGCCATTAGGCTCGGCCAAAAAATAGCCCATTTGAACCCGTATAAACGGGTTCTGGGCCGATTTAACCTCCCGAAGGAGACTCCGCCCTTCGGCGTAGCCTCCTTCGGGTTCCTCCCGCCCGTAGGAAGAGTTGAACCGAACAATCGCTCAGGAGGTGAACGACTGACAATATTCAGTCACCCCACGAGGGTGTCATGTGGGCACAAGGCCTTTTTAACGTGGGCATTCCCGAGCCATTAGGCTCGGCCAAAATAGCCCATTTGAACCCGTATAAACGGGTTCTGGGCCGGTTTTACCTCCCGAAGGAGACTCCACCCTTCGGCGTAGCCTCCTTCGGGTTCCTCCCGCCCGTAGGAAGAGAGTTGAACCGAACAGT